GGATTACAACAAAACAACCGGATCTGGATCACATCGTTTTACCTGAGGCTTCCTCACGAAAATGATGAAAATGTAGCTGCGGCCTAGGCGGCGCAGGGGGGGCGCGCACCAGGGGGCCCAACAATAATTATTCTTTAGAACAAATAATGTTCAACAACAACAACGGCTCTCGACTGATACTTCTTGATAATGTATTGAGGCATCGCGGTCTCGCGCAGGACTTCCTCACAATTTATGCAGGAATTGCGCTCTTGCGTGGGATTCCCTCGCAATCTATTTAGACGCCGCGCCTTCGACACTCAGGTGTCATGCTCTCGCTTTGGTCTTTCTCGCGATTTACTTGGGAATCGCGCTGTCGCTCGAGACTTTTTCGCGTTTCACGCAGGACGCACGGTTCAGCAACCCGCCTGCTCGACTTGGCCGCTTGGGCCCGCCTTCCCGACCCGCCTGCTAGGGTCTCTCCATCAGGTCTGCCCGTCTAGTTCAGCCACGTGTTTTCTGCTCCTAGCCCCCCTCCTGATAACTTCTCTCGTGCTCCATCCTTCTCCCTCCCCTTCCATCCGCTCTTCCTTCCGCTGTTTTAAAGGCTGCGCTAAATGCACGTGACAGGTAAGGAAGTTATACCTCCAAGGAGGGTATGATCGAATACTGAAAGGGCGGGTACCGAGGGTTTGGGATATACTTGTTGGATGGCACGCGAACAGGTAAGAGCGAACAGTCTTATCATGACTGTTGTTGTTGTTGTTGCTGTTGTTGCTGTTGGTGTAGTGTCCTCTCAGAAGAATAACTATTGTTGATCCCCCCTCCCCGGTAACCATCGTATGTTTCACTTGAAGTGCTTTTCCCTGGTCTTGTTTTTCACAAGGAATCGCGAGGTGCCACCAAATTGTGCCCCCGGCCCCCTGTTTTACAACAGCAGCAACAGCAACAGCAACAGCAACAACAACACCAACAACACCAACAACTATTTCAATACTGTTCGCTCTCACTGGCAGGCGTGTCCTAAATTCTGTATACCCCAACCCTCGATACCCGCCCGCTTCGTCTTTGATTGCGCCCCCTTTCAGGGGGATTATCTTCCTTGTCGGCCACGGACTGAAGTGCGAGGAACTCTCGAGCGAGAGCGCTGTTCTTGACTTCGGGGGCCTCTCTGGCCAGGGGCTCTCGGAATACATATGGAGAAATATCGAACGGGAACGCTTGTGTCGCCGTGTCTGGGCCTCCGCCAACTTGCCTGAAATTCGAGAAGTCTCGAGCGAGAGCGCCACTCTTGAGTTCGGGGGCCTCTCTGGCAAGGGTCTTTGTCAGTATATAACGAGAGCCCTTGTCATCGTAGTTGGGCCTTCCAAATTGATTGAATCACGAGAAGGTCTCGAGCGAGAGCGCCGTTCCTTAGTTCGGGGGCCTTCCTGGCCAGGGGCTCTCCGAATAAATCGTGAGGAAGTATCGCGCAGGAGCCCATGCCCTCGTGATTGGGTCTCCGCCAGCTTGATTGAATTGCGAGGAAGTCTCGAGCGAGAGCGCCGTTCCTGAGTTCGGGGTGCCTCTCTGGCCAGGGTGTCTCGGGGCAAATTGTGGGGAAGTGTCGAGCGGAAGCCGTTGTCGTTGTAGCCGGGCCTCCAAGGGCCCACATTTACACTCAAGCCGACGCTCGCGCGGGAGCCTCGTTTTCAGAGAAAGTGTAGCCGGCGTCGAGGCGAGAGCGCGCGGACTTGTTTCCGGAGGTCAACAATAAGGATTTTCTTTAAGCGAGTGTTCAGCAACAACAAAAACGGGCTCCCGCCTAATTCTTCTTCACATATTATTCCCACATCGTGCTTTGCAGCGGGACTGTTTCACAATTTATGCAGAAATCGCGCTCCCGCGTGGGAGTCCCTTTCAACTTATTCAGACGCTGCGCCCTCGACACTCAGGAGTCATGCTCTCGATGTGGATTCCCCTGCGATTTATTTGGGAATCGCGCTGTCGCTCAAGACTTCCTCGTAGTCATGCAGGACTCACGCTTCAGCAACCCGCCTGCTCGACCTGGCCGCCTGGGCCCGCCTTCCCGACTTGCCTGTCAGGGTTTACCCGCCCGATCTGCCCGTCTAGTTCTGCCACGTGTTTTATGTTGTCAGCCCCCCTCCTGCTACTCGCTTGTGCTCCATCCTCCTCCCTCCCTCTTGTCCCTTTCTTCATTCGTCCTCTCTTCCCCTGCCTGAAGGGTTGCACGAAATACACGTCGCAGGTAAGACATATATTCACCCCTAGGGGGGTACGATCGAAGATGAAGAGGGCGGGATCGATGGTTTGGGATTTACGAGTTGAATGGCCCGCGGGCAGAGAAGAGCGAACAACCTTAACATGATAGTTGTTGTTGAACATTATTAATTCTAAAGAATAATTATTGTTGGGACCCCTGGTGCACGGCCCCCCTGCGCCGCCTAGGCCGCAGCTACATTTTCATCATTTTCGTGAGGAAGCCTCAGGTAATACGATGTCATCAAGATCCGGTTGTTTTGTTGTAATCCGTTTTCCCTTGCAAAAAACACTATAAAATGACATTTCTTGTTCTAATATAATCAAATTTCAAGAATCCCTTGCAAAAAATAAGGTAAAGTGGACATTCGCGCGCGCAAGACGAAATCCTTCCAAAAGCTTAGTGTTCGGAGCGATTTTAACATAAAAACATCAAAAAACCAATGGTTTTTCAACAAAAAAATGTCAAAATCTCATCCCGCGCGCTCTTGCGGATTCGTAGGAAACCCAACACTTTTTAAACATTTCTGTCAAACGGGCTTTTGCGAGCAACTTTTTCGAACTTCTGCGACAACGGTTGCGCACCTGCCAGGGCCATCATCCCTGTCAAATAATACCATGCGGGACACATTCGTTTTTTCTTCGCGCGCGCACGCCGAAATCTCCAAAAACCATTGGGCTCCATCGGGACAACCATATCCTCTCTCTCTTGTGTATTCCCACATCCCTCAGGAATTTGCCCTAAAGATGTGATCAACTATCTTGTGAGTACGTATCATGTGTATCATGTGTATCATGTACCATATGCATCATATGCAACAGATGTTCTGTGGAAGGCTTAACAACTTCTGTGGGTTAACAAGGCTTAACAACTTCTGTGGGTGTACGAACGTAGGCTTAACAACTTCTGTGGGTGTGTACTCCACGCCAGTGTAGTAGCCACGGTCGTCCGCAGGCCACGAAGTGAAGTGTCCGAACGTCATAGGGCGGGAAGCTGGGTGTGGGTGGTGGCGAAGAGTCGTGTGGATATTTGGTAGAGCTTGCACTGCCCCCCCACAAAGTGGGGGTATTGGCTGGCGTCGCATGAAAACCCTGGCACTGGTGAGAACACTGAGCGTTCGGGTAAAGTGATTGTTGTTGTTGTTGTTGTTGTTGTTGTTGTTGTCGTCGTCGTCGTCGTTGTCGTCGTCGTTGTCGTCGTCGTTGTTGTTGTTGTCGTTGTTGTCCCCCCCTCCAGGGCACATTGTGTTTTTCAATTGAAGTGCTTTTCCCGGGGCTCACACCCTTGTTCCCCACCTAGGCTCTGCCTAGAAGGGTTTTTTCTCGGTAAACTTAAAGGGCCAGGCAGTGTTCCACGCCCCGGGCGGTTCCCCCGGCATTCGCCCCGCGATTCCCCCAGTTGCGCCCCTGGGTTCACCCAGCTTAGCTTAGCTTAGCTTAGCTTAGCTTAGCTTAGCTTAGCTTAGCTTATATCATCTTAGCTTAGCTTAGCTTTGCTTTGTTTGGCCTAGCCTAGCTTAGCTTGGCTTCGCTTCGCTTCGCTTAGCTTAGCTCAGCCTATTTCATCCTAGCAGCTTAGCTTAGCTTAACTTGGCTTGGCTTGGCTTGGCTTAGCTTAGCTTAGCTTAGCTTAGATTAGCCTAGCCTAGCCTAGCTTAGCTTAGCTTAGCTTAGCTTAACTGAGCTGAACTTAGCTAAGCATAGCTTAGCTTACCTTAGCTTAGCAGCATAGCGCAGCGCAGCATTAGCACAGCATCGCATATCATAGCATAGCCAAGCATAGCTGTGGATGTAGATGGAGGTGTAGATGCTAAGCTAAGCTAAGCCAAGCTAAGCTAATATGAGATAAGCTAAGCTAAGCTAAGCTAAGCTAAATTAGGCTAGGAACAGCTAAGCAGAGCCAATCACAGCAAAGCATAGCATAGCATAGATGTAGATGCAGGTGTCGATGTAAATGTAGCTGTCGGTGTAGATGTAGATGTTGCTTTCCTAAATGCTCCAACTCCTAGGCAGGGTCGCACGGGGATACTTTTTACAAGGGGACGCGAGGGGTAACCAAATTGGGCCCCTGGTCGCTGAATTACAACAACAACGCCTGCAGCCTGATACTTCCGCACATTTTATCCCAACATCCCACTCTCGCGCGGGACCTCCTCACAAGTTTTGCAGAAATCGCGCTCTCGCGTGAGACCTCCTCGCGATGTATTCAGACGCCGTGTCCTCGACACTCAGGAATCGCGCTGTCGCTGTGGCTTTTCTGACGATTGACTTTGGCATCGCGCTATCGCTCGAGCTCTCCTCCCGGTTCATACACTTTTCACGCATCAGCAGCACTCCTGCTCGACCTGGCCGCTTGAGCCCGCCTTCCCGACCCGCCCGTAGGGCTCTACCCGCCCGGTGGGCCCTTTGGTTCCGCCATGTGTTTTCAGCTCTTAGACTCCCTCCTGCTAATCCCGAACTCCATATTTTTATCCGTCTTCTATTCCCCTGTGGGCTGCACCGATGACACGCGGCAGGTAAGGGAGATATGCGCCCAGGGAGGTATGACCGAATACGAAGCGGGCGGGTACCGAGGGATTGAGATAGACGGGTTGAATGGCACGCGGGCAGGTAATAGCGACCAGTCTTAAATTTGGAATTATTATTATCACTATTACTCGTATCATTATTATAGGTAGTATTATTCTTAGTATTCGTATGGTTGTTGTTATAGTTGCTGTTGTTATTGTTGTTATTGCTGTTGTTGTTGTTGTTGCTGGTGTTGTTGTTTTGGCTGCTGTTCGTGATGGTGTGGTTGTTTGTGGCAATAGAAGATATTGTAGCCTCCGGCCCATCCCATAACATGGCCTGGGTTGAGGATCATCTGTTGACACTCGCCCTCTCGGTGGAGGCATGCTAGGAGTGGCACCAGAAGCTATGGCTAGCGCTAGTTGATTCAGGAAAGGCCTTCGACACCGTCGATCACGAGGCGCTGTGGAAAGTGTTGCGCGACTTCGACATCGAGAAAGGGTACATATCGTTATTGCGCAAACTGTATACAGACCAAGCCGCCACAGGAGTTGCAGGGGAAAAGCTCAAGCAGTTCGCGTGGGGCAGAGGTGTAAAGCAAGGCGACCCGATCAGCGGCCTTCTCTTCAATGCTGTCATGGAGAGGTGCTCCCGGACTTTGAAGGGCAAGTGGGGATCTCTGATCAATCGCAGAACTGGCCAGTACTTCGGCTTCGTCATTGACGTCCCATGCCGTCTGTTGACAAACTTGAGATTCGCTGATGACGTGCTTCTCTTTGGCCAGAGTCAGAACGATGCGGCAAACATGCTGTCCCACCTACAGCAAGAAGCTGCGCAGGACGGATTCATCATGCACCCGGACAACACAAATTTGCTCGCGATTGTGAGCGTTAGAGTTGGTTCATACGTGAAGATGGGAAACGCTAGTGTAGAGGTTGTGCCGCCCACCGGTTTTGAGAACTATCGAGGGCGCATTATCTGCCTGGGCGAGTACCGTGAGACAGAGTTCGCCAATCGAGTGGTAGCGGCGTGGAGAGTTTTTGGCCCAGCTCTAGCACATTCTCTGTTCGAGGCGATACGCTTCGACTTCGAGACTCAAGCTGTTTGACACAGTGGTTACGCCTGGTGTTCAGTACGGGTCGTCGGCCTGGACTGCACAGGAGGATGCCCGGAGGCGACTGCTGACCACATGACGAAAGATGCATCGTAAGATCGTTCAGGTCTCCAGATACCGTCAGGAAACATGGATGGAGTACGTGATCCGGTCCACCCGGGAGTGCGAGAAGTACATGTACACATTCGGGAGAAGGGACTGGGCTGTTATTCGGAGGGGCCGCAAGAAGAAACTTGCCTTTGCAACTTTAAATAATACTCGAGGCAAGTGGAGCACGAGGCTGCTACATTGGACGCAATTCTGCCGCACTGCCGCGCGGCGACCGCTGGGACGACCCCGCAAGAGGTGGGGAGACGCTGATTGAGGCCTCTGCCAGTCCTTTGCGATTTTCGGCTCAGTGCATTCTTCTCCTCCGATCTCTCCTCTTCAGCTCCGTGCACTTTTGGGTCGCCGATGCCAAGTTTGCGATATTTGCCGCTTGCGCCGGGCCAAAAGCCCGAAGGTGCCGCCTTCCTGGGCGGAACGCAGCCGCTCGTTCGCTCACATCATGGAAACCAGTGACTGGGGAGTCTTGGAACCCTGCTGCGGGTCCTTTCCAGTCCCCTCTGGGGCGTCCCGCGTCTCTGGCCTTCTCGGGCTCCTTTTTGGGATGTCTCGGGGCCCTCTTGGGCCGTCCTCGGGACCTCCTGCGCCGTCTTGCGTTTCTTTGGCCGCTGGAAAGTCGCGCGACAACACGCGGCATGCCCGAGAGACTCCGTTCCGTGGGCTTTGGGGCCCCATTGCGGAGTAGTGGTGCGATACCCAATGCAGAGGACTCTATGGGACCAGACGGCATTCCACCCAGTTGTTACGGCACGGTGGCGGATTGTCGGAATGAGGAATTTCGGCTCCCGCGAATACATCTCCAGTCGGATGGGCGTCCGCTGGTTCGGGGCGAGCAAACGTCGTTGCGTATATCTTATGATTATTATTATTCTTCGCCCTCCCAGTATTATTCTTATTCTTGCTGTTCGTACTACCGCTCACGATTTAGACTGATGATGATTATCGTCACTTTGCTTCGTATTTTTCGTATCACGCTTGTAAGTGTTATCCATCTTCTGGCGGGGGGCCCGCGCGGCCTCGTAGGGGCCCAAAGGGGGAATGAAGGGGGGCCCCCAGTGGGGCCCTGCGTCGTGAGGGGGGGGGGTGTCCCGCGGCGCTTCGGAGATCCAGGGGGTGACCCCGGGTGCCCAGTGCCCGTCGCCGTGGGGATCAACGGTGGTTCCGGTTTGATTTGAGCAGAGGCGCGCGTCGGGGGCCTCGGGACGGGGGCCGATGCAAACGGTAGTCAGCCAGGGCGCCAGATCTACCAGGATCTTGCAAAGCCAAGGGTGCATTGGTCCGGGCTTGCGCGCAGGATCTTGGAGGATTTTGCAGGATCCGGCAAAGCCTGAGTGACCAGGCCTTGCAGAGTTTGCAATGATCCAGGTGAGTGCGTCACCGAGCGCATAGGTACAACAAATCTGCGCCCTGTTGCTGTTGCTGCCGGCGACGGCGGGACGGTGTTAAGGAGGAGGAGGAGGAGGAGGAGGAGGAGGAGGAGGAGGAGGAGGAGGAGAGGAGGAGGAGGACGACGAAGAAGAGGAGGCTGCCAGTGTAAACCCAAAACTCCACAACGACATTGATTACATTTTTCCTGTAGGTTCCCACTTTGTAGGCTTCTACAAGGATTCATTACCACTAAATGACGTGCCCCGTTGGAAGGCAACCGCTTGAAAATCCTGGACTGTGCCAGAACACCAACACGGTTCCTGGGACGTCAACCCCGCGAGTCAGCGTTACTCTTGCGTCTCGACGATGGGGAATCGTGCCAGAACACCATTTTTGGGAGGTCCACAACACAAATCATCGTAACTGTGGCGGCCTGGCAGTCCGACATCGTGCCAACACACCGATTTGGGATGCCAGCCATGGGAACATTTGGAGCTGCTGTAAGCTCTTGAAACGAATGTGCGCGGCGCTAAGGCGCTAAGGCGAGAACCATATTTTGCAAAAGGAACCGTCTTCCACCCGTGAGATTGTTGCAAATTTTCAAAGACGAATGCACGCGGCGCTAAGGTGCGAGCCACATTTTGAGAACGGCCCGCCCTCAATCTGTGAACCTGTTGTAAGCTTTTGAACGAATGTGTCCGGCGCTAAGGCGAGAGCCATCTGTTGAAAGCCACCCGCCCTCCATCCGCGAAGCTGCTGCAAACTTCATAGATTGTGAGGAAGTTTCAGGCGAAACGCTCCGGCTGCCCTTTCGACCGGCCTCGGGGTGCGACACGGAGGAATTCTTCATAAGGACAAGAAATGAGATGATGATGATGATGATGATGATGATGATGATGATGATGATGATGACGATGACGATGATGATGATGATGATGATGATGATGATGATGATGATGATGATGATGATGATGATGATGGATGATGATGATGATGATTGATGATGATGATGATGATGATGATGATGATGATGATGATGATGATGAATGATGATGATGATGATGATGATGATGATGAGGAGAGGAGGAGGAGGAGGAGGAGGAGGAGGAGGAGGAGGAAAAGGAGAGGAGGAGGAGGAGGAGGAGGAGGAGGAAGAGTGTTTTTTGTTGCAGCGCAGCATGCAGCCCGCACGTCACCTCAGGGAAGGGCGAGACACCCGAGGTAAAAGACAAAACCACAAACCAACCTCTAACAGGCAGGCTCGAAGTTCATACCCGCTCACACCGGCTAGGCGAGAAGCAGCAAAAGGAGAAGCCCTGCCTGGCGCCACCAGGGCAGGAAGTGGCCTTTCTAGACTAGAACGACCCCGTTCTAGGCTAGAACGGGTGGGTGCTGCCTCGGGGCAAGCCCGGTACAGGACCCGACCCACGACACCACCATACACCCAGACTAATATGGGGCAGTCTCCTAAATGTCTGAAAAGTGCGGTTGCCACCGCGGCGAGGGAAGCAGCGTGTTGGCACAAGCCAGCAACGCACAACCAGAAACGAAAGGCGAAATCCATCCAAACACTAAAAGGTAGGGCGTGGCGGGTACTCACTCGGGGCAGCCCCAGAACAGGACCAGACCCCCGACCCCACCATCTGACCAAACAAGTATGGAGCAGGTTCCTCAATGCCTAATCAGTGTCGCTGTCTCCGCGGTGAGGGATGGTGCGTGCTGGCTCTGCCCAGCTACGCCCGAGATCTTCAGGCAGGCTCACAGTTGCCGTCGAGAGGAGGCGCTGGGCCAAATCAGCCCAGCGACTCGTGAGCATCCTCCTCCTCCAAGGCCGAGGGGGGGGGGGGTTCAAGAGAGGGACCGGGGGCCTCCTCCTCCTCTATTGGCCCAGGGGCCAACCGAGACCGTGACGTCTCCGCGCTTGGGATGCCGTCCCCTCGCGATCTGCCTCCAGGCGTGACCCTGAGCTCCAGCCTTCCGGATCGGCTGGCAGGGCTGTCGGAGGTCTCGACCTTGCCCACCTCCAGTGTAGAACATGCACTTGAGGCACACAACAACAAAACTGCCGTCCGAGGCGTCAATAAACAGCATGCTGTGTCCCAGAGCAGAACACGTCAGGAGCATCCATGCCACGGATCCTGACGCCCGCGCCACCACGGCACAAGCTCGCGGGCGGCTTGTCGGCTGAGCGTGATCCACGAAAACATTTAGAACACTGCCAAAAACGCCCTTTCCAGCCCCAAGCGTGCGTCGGACCCTGCTCTTTGCTCACAGGAGCGGCAACAGGGATCCTCTGCACGTTCGGCCCTAGATCGAGCCGCGGCCACAGTGGTAAGAGCTTCGCGGCCAGAATGCCCACAGCTCTCGCAATGGTCAGCTTGCAATCTACATCATCAGCTTCCGTGCTGTCGGGCTGTGGGTGGATTAACACAATTTCGCCGAAACGTCGACAGCATGGCTACCTTCACGCAAGTAGAGATCCCAGCTATCTTCGGCCCCTTCGATGGACTGGTGGGCCTTGACTTTGTGCACATTGCACCGCGGGGAAACCTCTCGACAAAATTAAGTAACTCCAGAGCGTACGCACGCTTAAGAGAACATTGCTCTTCCCACGGAAGGGCATGAAAATCAGCGCAGGCTTTACAGTCAACAAGCAACTCGCAAGGACCACTCGACCACTGCAGCGCGATCGAGTAAGCGTGAAACTCAGCGGCCTGCGCCCTCTGTGGACACGGGGGCCAAACTGGCCCCCGCACTCTAACGATCTCGAGACCTATGTCACGATGCTAGGGCGAGAAGGCCCAACCCGCACGATCGAGTTCGGGGATGACCCTCTTGCTGCATGACCCGTCCGTGAATATATCCCCGACGAAGACGTTGTCGTTCGGGGAGTCCCCGTCAGCAGGAGAAGCCTTTTCGACCTGCACACCACACGACTGAAGAGGGCGAGGGAAAGAACGACTCGGCAGGGTGGTTGAAAATTCCGAAGCACGCGACCACGTCGTCCGCGTCCTCGGCCCACCTCCTCACATTGTCCTCGACCAAAGCCTCCCTCTCGCCCGACACCTCCGCACATTGCCAAACGATGCCTAAGTGTGTCTTCCGCGTCGAGACACAGCGGGCACAGCGTGGACGGTATAACGTAGCCTAAGTCGGCAGCGCGCGGCCTAGTATAAATGGCGTGGCAAAACAAAGACCTCACACAACCTTTCTGAAAGGGACTGAGCCGAGAGCCCTGGAGACATCTCGGAACTCCATCGACACACGCCCTCCCATTCAGGTTAAATTTGGCCCCCAAGTCCCACTCCAGCCCATGAATAACCGCTTTCTTGAGAAGCGTCTTCAGCAGCTGAGGCGACACTTCAGTAAGCACAATCTTGTATCCTTGGTCCGAAATGATCGTGGCCAAAGTTCCCATGTTCCAGGAAATACGCTCACAGGACTTCCGAAGGGCCGACACAGGCACAGAAACATTTTTCCAAAGCCCCGGCTCCCCGCGGAAACCAGCATCCCAAGCTGCTCTGAGCTCGGTCAAGGGGACAGAAAACGAGTACAGAGAATATCAGGAGATCCGAACCTCCTCGGCCAAACGGATGATCGGGCTACCGCCGCGAGCCAGCATGGCTTTTGGTGGGCCAGCAAAAGACAAGTGAGGGATCTTCGTTTGGCCGAGGGTTGCAGCACAGAGGCCGCCTGGCGACGAAACTGCAACAGCTCGGAATCCGTAACCCCGTGAATGTCGGCCCCGAAAAGGTTGCTAGCCATGGACCCCGCGGCAAACACACGCTGGGCCACGCGGCCCCCGACCGTGGGTCTCAAACGCGCCAACCTGGCACAAAAACTCCTGGACTTTTTCTTCCTACTTTTGGCCTTACCAGATCTCCCTTGGCGTCGACGTGCCTTGCCCGCAGCGTCGTCCACACCTAAGTTGGCCGCATTTGACACGAGGGGACCAGCTCAGCCCCCAAGGCGAGCGCCGAGCTCCTTGCCCAACGTCTTCGAGGAACAAACGAGCGACCTCTTTCCAGGGTCATCTGAGACAATTGCACCCACCTTCTCCGACAGGACCCTGTGCAGGGCCTCCACAGTCGGTGGGAGGTGGGTGAAAAGGTATTCGGACGAAATGCACCTGGCGCGGCAGACTCAGATGGTCCAGGGCTCCAATGGAGTACACGCAGATCAGGGTCGTCGCGAACCCACAAACAGCCACAATACACCTGGAAGCCCAACAGGGCCCGTCAGTGAAACCCGAATGCCTGAACCATCTGCTCTGAAGGCACATGCACACCGCAGCTCTCGCGATAGCCAACGGACAGCTAAACACCTTGCACCGACGCAACAACTTGCGAAACTCAATCGTTTCATAGTACTCGTACACATCGAGGAGGACCGTCGCAGCCTGACCTTTATCCTTCACGCCGGACTCGGCACGGACCGACTGTCGACACACCACATCTTGGGCCCCCTCGAAGGGCCCAGCCGCAAAGTACTCCCGAGGGTGGGATCGCTGCCACTGCTGGCACAGAGGGCGGCGGGCATGACCGCAGTCACAATATATCGCGCCAGACGTTTCAGTGGGTCTGAAACCAGAGGTCGCCTTAGGAATCAGGGTGAGCAACGCGATAGCGATTAGACTAGGGAGCAAAGAGGACATCTCCGTGGCAGCGAGAAGCCTCGCAAGATGTGATCGCTCATCATGTGAAAATGTCTCATGTGAAACCCGCCCGTAACCACCGACGTGTTCTCCTTGAACCCCTTCGAAAAAACGCACAGCCTCAATAGGCATAAGCGGGAGGTCGTCGCAGCACAGGTCATGTTCGAACCAAATGTCTCCCCAAATGTCGACAAACTTGCGACTCTCAGTCTGCAAGAGCGACAAGGGATCACACACCACCTCTTTATCAGTAGACAGCATGGTCGTGGGTTGCCATTTCGTGGCACTCTTGAGGAGGAGGAGGAGGAAGAGGAGGAGGAGGAGGAGGAGGGTGAGGAGGGTGAGGAGGAGGAGGAGGAGGAGGAGGAGGGGGAGGATGAGGAGGAGGAGGAGGAGGGTGGTGGTGAGGAGGAGGAGGAGGAGGGGGAGGAGGAGGAGGGTGAGGAGGAAACGGAGGAGGAGGAGGAGGAGGAGGAAACGGAGGAGGAGGAGGAGGAGGAGGAGGAGGCACGAGGGGGACGAGGAGGACCAGGGAGGGAGGGGGGAGGGTGGACTGGCGGAGGAGAGGGGCGCCGACAGCATGCGTGGTTGGGTCTCCGCGTGAGGCGGCGCTGCGGGGCGTGTTCGGATTGCAGGCCATGCGCCAGCAGTGGAGGACGCCGCCCTCGGACCAGAAGGCGCCCGGGCTCAGGCAGAACAGTCCCGCCCTGAAGACAGCAAGGCTGGAGGCTCGAGGATACGGTCAGGAGTTCGAGCATCGCGCCGCCGGCTCTGGCCCAGCATGCTCCGGCGCGGCACGTTGTCCATTTCCCGGCCCCCGGGCGTCAGTGTCTCGCGTTTTTGTTCCGAGCCTCCTGCCCCGCGGAGCGGAGCGACACGCCATCCGCTCGCAGGGCATGCAGTCGGTCCAGTCGCATAGCAAGGAGGAACAAGTTTCCGTGGTTGCTCTTGCATCCTTGCCCCTTCGGCCCACCCCTGGCAACTTTCGCCGGCCAGCCCCGTTCGAAAAACCGTAGCATGGCCTTCCAAGGCCCTCGCATCCTCACCACGCATCCTTCTTATGCGACTTGAGACTTGACTGTACCGTGTCGCCAGGGCCGCCGTTGGCGACGCGCTGAACAGAAGTTACGGGCCGAGCTCCCGCCGCCGTCCGAGGGGGAGGTTCGGGGCTCGAGAAGTATCGAGGATCGAGGAGGATCGAGGAGGATCGAGGAGGATGGAGGATGATCGGGGAGGGAGGAGGAGGAGGGAAGAGGAGGAGGAGGAGGAGGAGGAGGAGGAGGAGGAGGAGGAGGAGGAGGAGGGAGGAGAGTAGGAGGAGGAGGAGGAGGAGTAGGAGTAGAGTAGGAGTAGGAGAGGAGGAGGAGGAGGAGGGGAGGAGGAGGATGAGGAGGAGGAGGAGGAGAGGAGAGAGGAAGAGATGAGAAGGGAGGAGGAGGAGGAGGAGGAGGAGGAGGAGGAGGAGGAGGAGGTGGAGGAGGAGGAGAGGAGGAGGAGGAGGAGGAGGAGGAGGAGGAGGAGGAGGAGGAGGAGGAGGAGGAGGAGGGGGAGGAGGAGGGGAGGAGGAGGGAGGAGGAGGAGGAGGAGGAGGAAGAGAGGAAGGAGGGAAGGAGGAGGAGGAGGAGGAGGAGGAGGAGGAGGAGGAGGAGTAAGAGTAAGAATCCTAGGACAATGTCCCAAGTACGAAACCTCAACATGGGAGCCCTATCTGGGCTCGCCTGGCCTTCTCAGCGGCAATATATACCTTGTGCGACAAACTTTATTTGACTTGTATCGAGATGGGCAGCTCGGGTCGGGGTGGCCTTCGCCACATACCTTGCCCAACCCCGACAGCTGTTCATCTCCAAACAGTCCACAGGACGAGCAAACCAAGCACTGACATCTTGGCCATACCTCATCTTATGTGTGGCATGGACCTGCCCCCCCCCCCCCCGCGAGGTGCAGCTCCCTCCCCCCTGGGAAGAACCCGAAGGGACCCATCTAAGGCTAGAAGCTTGAAACACGGGGACTCGCGCCAATTCCTCAGCTCCGAGATCGACGAGGTCCCCTGACACCGACGGCACCGACTCCGCGAACCATCAAGAGCGTGCTGGCTATTGATAACAGACAAGGCCTCTGGGCACGGCGAGGGAGGAGGAGGAGGAGGAGGAGGAGGAGGAGGAGAAGGAGGACGCCCACGACCGTGAAAGGGTACGACCGCATTCGACATGCACAGAAATAACAAAACGAGTTAGGCTGGGCCGCAGGGAAGATCCTCGTCCTCAGGTCCCTCCCTGCGCGCCCGCCTGGCCTCCACCTCCCGTCCCAGGGCCTCCAGGTCCTCGCTGCCAATGCCGATCAGCGCGAGGCCCCAGATGAGGTCCACGGCGGGAGCCTCGCGCACACGGCCGCTTGACCTGGCGGCCTCCCTCGCCCTCGGGGGTCCCAGAAGGCCCTGGGACCAGGCGGAGAAACACGGGGCCCACTCACACTTGACCTCAGGGGATGGGGTGTCCTGCATACGCCATCGTCAGTCTCTGTGGATCCCGATGGGCTGGATATCGTTCAGCACGAAACTTGCCCAAGTAAAAGGTTCGGCTCCCAGAGGCCAAGGGCCGACACCTCAAACGCAGGTTTCCCCGTTTCGTGCTGGAATGTGCCATGGCTCCGCATGCTGTGCAACAGAGCATCGTGTCATGAAACGTGAGACCATCCGACTCATACACATCACCCTGCTCCAAAGTGTGCCCTAGCTGGCACCAAGCTCCCAAGGTCGGAAGGGGGCGGGATCTCCTGAGGCCGCGGGGAGGAGGAGGAGGAGGAGCAGGCGGAGGAGGAAGAGGAGGAGGAAGAGGAGGAGGAGGAGGAGGAGGAGGAGGAGAAACACTACATCCCACTCCCTCACTAGCAACTCCCGTCGGCCCTTGTCGCCGCTTGCGGCGGCCCGCCTTCATCTCCTTCATCTCCTTCCCCTCAGCAGCTAGCGCGTGCAGCGACGCCCTCAGGAGGCGCATGACCTTGGCTCGCACCGCCCTCAGCAGTCGGCCATCCTCAGCTGCCTTCCCCGCCAGCTTGTCGGCTGGGCTGTTGCCGCTCACCAGCTACGCTGGCGTGCCGCTGGCCTCAGCCTCCTCAGCTGACAGGTGCGAGTTCACGAACAGCACGACGAAGTGAGCAGGTTCACGCTCCAGGAACTCGGCACTCACGAGTGCCCAGAGATCTGCCAGCTCCCCCTGCGGTTGGCGATACCTGCGAGCATACCACACATCATACACCATCTCATTGCCACACACACTTTCAGCATGATCACTGGCAAGCCTGGCGGCCATAAGGAGCATTTGCAATTCCCCTCGCGGCACGGACAGGGCGCCAGGCAAGGGGCGCTGCAGCGTTGCCAGCGCATCCAGGTTGGTCTCGGACTGTACCCTCACAAGTCCGTAACCCATTCGACGGAAACAGGGGCCCCGCGAGTCAGGACCTCCACTGGCGTAACCGAATATCACAACAGGGGCTTGGGGAGCTCCAGGCCCCCAGCTGCCAGCCTCGACTTTATTCACCGACACTCCTGAGAACGACCAATCCTCCGAAAGAGGTGGCGGCGGCAGACTGGTCCAGCTCTTGGGAATGGCACCCCTGAGCCAGAAAGCCTCATCAGCCTGGTGCTGCGCTGGGGCCCTCGGAAGCAAAGCCTCGGACTTGCGGTGAGTCTCCTCCCCGTGTTATGGCGGCATCCCCGGTAGCGGTGGTACGCATCTTCACGACATTCCTCGCACCGCGGACACCATGGGCTGACCTGGACCTTCGCAGCCGCTGCGGCTCTCCGTTCCCGTGGCCAGGCACCACCTGCAGCTATGGACACCAGCAGCTCTTCAAGTCTTCTTCCACGGGGAAGCCCACGAAGATAACGAAGCAGAAGTCTCAATGAACAATGATCGGCACCTTGAGCAAGCCCTGAGCCACCAGTAATGCTGAGCTGCCCTTTGCCAATCATATATGTATATATATAGATATATGTATGTATCCGCGGACGGCTGATCGAAGTCATACACAACCCATTGAACTTGTTGAGAGCAAGCTCGGATGACTACTTCTCCACAGGAAAGTGCCATTCTATATCATCGGAAAACTGCAAACACGTCGGGGACTCAGGGTCCCAGCCTCTCTCCAGCAAGGTAATGATCATAGCCGGCATTAGCCCTCGAGCCCACCGTGACCGACGTGCCGACGGCATGTTCAGCAAGCGTTTGACCAACGCGGGCCAGGCACGATACACTGCTGGACGGATCTGGGGCTGGGTAATCCACTGATGCAGCCAACGACTCAAGACCTCATGTGGCAACCGAATGCATGGTTCCTGAGCATCACCACGAATGGACAGCAACGTGGTGGCACGCAAACCTTTGCCCCCTGAACTGCGCACCGAGGCGAGGTTCCTACGACACTGCTGTACGCGCCTTCGAAAGTACCATGAACAGCTTGGCCAACGTTACCTGCTGCCTGGGACCCCATCTTCTCACGCCTCGCCGTGACATGCTATCGTTTCGAAGCTCGAGCAAGTCGGACCGCACGCGCATGAAGCCGTCGTTGCTTGACTCCTTTCTGCGGGCCTCACGAGCAGTTCGACGGCCGACGCCCTGATCGACACCAAGAAAACCAGCTTACAACTGAGCCCGAAGTACATGACCTTTCTTCCTCAACATGCGCACCACTTCCTTCGCATCACCATGATGAGAACATACCACACAAGGTTTGGCGGCAAGTTTGAGCTTGTCTGTGGCCAGCTCCTCAATCGTATCTGCGAGACACTCAGTGAGACGATCGCGACCTGCAATGCCAGAGCCAACCATGCTCTGAGACAAATCATCAATCCATATGCGATTGGAAGTACGATAATGCTTCCAATAAACTTAGCCATAACGAAATGCGCTATACGTTTGGCATACCTCGTCCCAGCACGAAGACCCTGAATGGTGCTGCATGTTGCAAGAAACGGCTGGCTCACCGCCCCTTGTTGCTCCAGAGCTCGGGGCGCCATGCACTGGCACAACTCCAGGGACATTATATTGGGGTGGGAAGCCCAGCCGAAGCGAGACGTCCACAAGGGGGTCCCACTCCATGTCGTCGCAGAACCCCTCCACGTCCATGAGCCCGTGCCCGACGGGGGTACCGAGCACTCCAGCCACTTCTTCCTGCAGTGTACGATGGAACTCCTCCAGAAGTGAGGCATTCCCACCAATCACGAACCAGCCGTTCGCGACTCAGCGACCAAAGTTGGCCCATGAACGATACCGAGCCAATCACTCGTTCTCCGCCCAGCTTCTTCGGCAAGAGCTCACCGACGATCAGCTGCGTCTGATATGGCCAGGCCAGCGTGTGCTCGGCGAGGTCGAGCAGCGCGGCGAGCTCCTGCACCGCGCTGGTGGGCAGGCGCTCCACGTCGATCGGCGTCATCCGATCCGTGCCCATGCCTTTGGTGGCCTTCATCATGTGGGCTGCCGACCGCACCTCCTCGACCGTGATGGGGTCCACGAGCCTAGCCCGTGCCGCCTCGCGTGCGGCAGCATGGGCACGAGCCATCTTGTCCTCATCCACACTGTGAGGAGCCCACTTCTTCTGCCAATGCTTGCACTTGCTGTCGATGATGTCCCTCGGGTGAACGACTGCCAGCTCCCCTCCCCTTCGAGAACCTCGAGCGGTG